GACTCATGGCAGCCCAGCTCCAGGTTGAGCTGTTGTTCAGCATCTTAGCTGTGGAGGGCAGTGTCACTGGCCCTCATATGGGGGATCCGAACCGGGGCCCTCTGGCATCCCAAGCCAGTTCTTAACCATCGCGCCACTCAGCTGGCCCTCGTTTTTTCTTTTACTTCCCTTACCCGTGGGGATGTATCAGTAAAAATATTGCTCAGGGTAATGTCTGCAAATTTAGTCCCTATGTTTTCTTCTAGGAGTTTTATGGCTTCAGCTCTTACATTTAAGTCTTTAATCCATTTTGAATTTGTTCTTGTATATGGCATAAGGAGGTAGTCCAGTTTCATTTTTTTGCATGTGTCAGTCCTATTTTCCCAGCACCATTTATTAAATAGACTGTCTTTACCCCAATGTAAATTCTTGCTTCCATTGTGAAAGACTAACTGTCCGAATATGCATGGATTTAGTTCTGGACTCTTTATTCTGTGCCATTGATCTGCGTGCCTCTTTTTATGGCAGTGCCATATTGTTTTGATTACTGTAGACTTGTGGTATGTTTTAATGTCTGGTAGCATGATACCTCCGACCTTGTTCTTATGTCTCAGGATTGCTGTGGCTAGTCAGGGTCATTTTTGGCTCCATAGAAATTTTTGGATTATATTTTCTATATCTGAGAAAAATGCCCTAGGTAGTTTGATGGGAATTGCATTGAATTTGTATATTGCTTTAGGCAGTATGGACATTTTAACTATATTAATTCTTCCTATCCATGAGCATGGTAGGTGTTTCCATTTATTTGTATCTTCTTTTATTTATTTCTTCAGTGTCTTATAATTTTCTGAGTAGGTCTTTTACTTCTTTGGTTAAATTTATTCCTAAGTATTTTATAGTTCTTGAAGCAATTGTGAATGGAACTTTTTTCTTAATTTTTCCTTCTGATAGTTTATTATTGGTGTATACAAATGCAACTGATTTCTGAATATTGATTTTGAATCCTGCTACTTTACTGAATTCATCTATCAGTTCCAATAGTTTTTTGATGGAGTCTTTGGGGTCCTCTCTTTATATAGTATCATGTAATCTGCATATAATGACAATTTTACTTCCTCCTTACTGATTTGGATACCTTTTATTTCTTTTTCTTGTCTGATTGCTGTGGCTAGAACTTCCAGAACTATGTTAAATAAAAGTGGAGAAAGTGGACAGCCTTGTCTTGTTCTTGATCTTAAGTTGAGTATGATGTTAGCTGTGGGTTTATCATATATGGCCTTTATTATGTTGAGATATGTTCCCTCTATTCCCACTTTGCTAAGATTTTTTATCATAAATGACTGCTGTATTTTGTCAAATGCTTTTTCTGCATCTATTGATATGACCATATGATTTTTATTTTTATTTTTGTTGATGAGGTGTATCACATTAATTGATTTGCGGATGTTGAACCACCTTTGCGTACTAGGGATGAAACTCACTTGATCATGATGTATGATCTTCTTAATATATTGCTGAACTCTGTTTGATAAAATTTTGTTGAGGATTTTTGCATCTATGTTTATCAGGGATATCGGCCTGTTGTTTTCCTTTTTTGTACTGTCTTTGTCTGGTTTTGGAATCAGGGTGATAATGGCTTCATAGAAAGAGTTTGGGAGAATTCCCTCCTTCTGGATTTTTGGGAATAGTTTGAGAAGAATAGGTGATAATCCTTTTTTGAACATTTGGTAAAATTCACTTGTGACATCATCTGGTCCCGGGCTTTTGTTTGTTGGGAGCTTGTTGATTACTGATTCAATTTCCTTGGTAGTAATCAGTCTATTCAGGTTTTCTGTTTCTTCTTGAGTTAGCTTTTAGAAGGTTGTATGCTTCTAGAAAATTATCCTTTTCTTCCAGATTGTCAAATTTGTTGGCATATAGTTGCTCATAGTAATTTCTTAAAATTTTTTGTATTTCTCTGGAGTGTGTTGTCACTTCACCTCTTTCATTTCTGATTTTACTAATGTGAGTCCTCTCTCTCTCTCTTTTTTTTTTATGAGCCTGGCTAGAGGCTTGTCAATTTTGTTTATCTTCTCAAAAAACCAGCTCTTGGTTTCATTGATCTTTTGTATCATTTTTCTGGTCTCTATTTCATTTATTTCCGCTCTGGTCTTTATTATTTCCTTCCTTGTACTTCCTTTGGGCTTATTTTGCGTTCTTTTTCCAGCTCCCTAAGGTGTAAGGATAACCTGTTGATTTGAGATTTTTCTTGCTTCTTTAGGTAGGTCTGCACTGCTATGAACTTCCCTCTTAGGACTGCTTTTGCTGCATCCCAGAGATTTTGGGTTGTGTTGTTTCATTTTCATTTGTCTCGAGGTATCTTTTGATTTCCTCCTTGATCTCATTTTTTACTCACTCGCTATTTTAGTAGCATGTTATTCAGCCTCCATCTATTTGTATGCTTTCTGGATTTCTTCTTGTAATTGATTTCTAGTTTCATAGCATTGTGGTCGGAGAAGACGCTTGATATGATTTCAATCTTCTTAAATTTATTGAGACTTGTTTTGTGGCCTAACATGTGGTCTATCTTGGAAAATGTTCCATGTGCACTTGAGAAGAATGTATATTCCGTAGCTTTGGGGTGAAATGCTCTGAAAATATCAGTTCAATCCAGCTGATCTATAGTGTTATTGAAGGTCGCTGTTTCCACATTGATTTTCTGTATGGTATGTATTCTTTATCTGGCATCTTTTACTCAGCATAATCCTCTTGAGACTCATCCATAGTGTTCGTATGTCAGTAGTTCATTCCTTATTAAGTAAATGAGCTTACATTTAAAGTTAAATAACACTGACCTTTTTAAGAAATCCAGAATCTAAGGTCTAACAGAAAAGAGAATGATGTCTTGTTTTTTCTAAAGAATGTGGTTATGAAGCAGTGTATCGTTGATCACCTATTGTGCTTGTTCAAAAAATAAACTGCCAAAGAGTGTTTCTCAATGTCAGATGCTAATACAAATGTGGTGTACACAATAAGTTCATGGGAGGGGCAAGGAGTAAGAAGCACTTATCCTCTTCATTCTCATTTATAACCACACCCGCACACTCTGCCCACCTCAATTCAATAAGGTTTGGATATATCTATAAGATATGATCAGTTCCTAAAATTTCAGGGCTGCCATATTATAATGTGTAAACCATTTCATTGGTACCTCAATTTCCCCAGTCTCAAAATTGGTTTAAGTATGAATGTTATCCACATGCACTTTACAAATTGTGAAACCTTTTTTTTTTTGGGCCGGCTGAGTGGCTCAGTTGGTTAAGAGCTCGCTCAAGAGTTTGAGCTCTGAGCAACAGCGGTTCGAGTCAGCCCGAGCTGAGCAGCCGTGAGCTGCCAACAGGTGGCAGGATGGCTCAGCTAAAAAAAAAAAAAAAAAAAAACAACAACAAAAAAACAAATTGTGAAACCTTTTTAAAGGACAGAGTTTAAATTAATGAAAAGTAGCAACCAGGGCTGATATTGAGTATTCAACGAAGAACTGTTTTGAAATTAGAAGGAAAAATAATACGGATTCCAGGAGTCCCCAAACAGTAAACAGGTTGTGTTCTGCATATATGTGGAACTAAAAACACAGTTTACTATAGAAATATCAGTAATTCCAATAAAGAGATAACATATTCTGGGCGCGTCCCAGCCTGCCTAAATAAGGGGGTAAAATGAGAGCGCTAGTAAGAGGCAAGTGAAAGGTGATTTACATTTGATGGAAACTCCCAAGTTTTGCTTTTGGCTGCCCTGCGCACTAAGGAAGGCCAGAGTGAATGAATTGCCCTATTGGCACTTTAGAACTACAATTCCCAGCATGCCGCAATGCAGGCTCCCCAACAGACGCAGTCTCGGGTTCTGAGCACTGCGGGGCCGTCTGCTAAGATACACTGGCCCGTCTACGTTCATGGCTTCTCCTAGCAAGGCAGTAATTGTTCCTGGTAATGGAGGCGGTGATGTGGCCACCCACGGCTGGTATGGCTGGGTGAAGAAGAGGCTGGAGCAGGTAAGAGACAACGCCTCGCTGCACTGGGAAGTCAGCCTGGAGCTGGAGAAGACGGAATGGGGAGGACTGAACTTTGAACGTGTGTCTCCCCCTTACCCTTCCCAGCCTTGTGTGTTTTAATCCCTCTCCCTTAATGCTCTGTCTTAAATTCTAGAACTAGTGGTCGGAACTTTGGTTGATAAAACTGCCTGGATGGCTTCTCTGAGGGCTTAGTTAGAGTACAAGGCACCACCTCTTAGAACTAGAGACTGAGCCCGCTCCTCCTCCCGATATCTGCTGCTGGTTCAGATTTGGGACTTCCCAAATGATTTTATATCTATCTTCTTTGCTCCCTGCTCAGATTAAAACATATATATATATATATATATATATATATATATATATGTTACATGTATATTATATATTAATATATACAAAGAATATATGTAACATGTATGTAAGTTTTGAACCATAATGTAAGGAATACCCAAGAAACCATCACTAAACTAAAATCTAGAACATTATCAATATATTTGAAACCACCTGTATATTCCCCACCCCATTTCCCTGCCATCCTAAATTTTTTTTCACTTGCTCCACTTTTAAAAATTAAAATACTTTTGCAACCTATGTGCATATCCTTTAAACAATGTAGTTTGACTTCTTTGTGAGCTTTATAAAAATGGCATTCTACTGTAGGTTGTCTTGTACATCTTGATTTTTTTTAACCCTCTTCCATAACCTTGCAATAAGACTGCTTTCTGGGTTGCCGTTCTCTACAGATTTCTAGTATAAAATTCTAGGTTTGTGGCTGAAAACCATGCCAGAGCTACAAACCTAAAGATCAGGGCTGGAGCTGTACAAGAGGATGAATCTCCTCCAACTTTCTGAACCACATTTCTGTACTATATTTTTCCTACTCCCTGGTGCACAGTCTGTTTGGCTCCAGGTCAGTCTGTCCAGAACACATTCACTCATGCCCTCTCTGTAGATATACGCCTATAGCAATATAGATGTACAAATGCAGATATAGGTCTTTCTACATAGAGATATACAAAGTTGGCTAGATATAGAACTACAGACAGATGGAGTTTATGAAAGGGATTGTATATTCATATGTAATCCTGTAGCACTTAACCTACTTCATTTCATAATATAAGCAAATACTTATTTAATTGATAAAGATCATATTGGCTGTCTCATTTCTTATTAGCAAAGCATTAGTTGTAATTAAGCTCTTTATTATAGCTTTTCTTTCCCCCTGTCATAGATACCTGGTTTCCAGTGTTTGGCTAAAAACATGCCTGACCCAAGTAAGTTTTAAATGTGTTTTTAAATAGCCTCATCTTGTTGGGTTTAGATCTATTTTTCTGGTAGTGAACAGGAATATCACAGTAGAGTAGCCAAAGGGAATATGCACCTAAGAATGAATGATGGCAAGTAGTTTGGGGAGGAGGATGTAAACCAAAAAACATTATAGAAAATTCTAGTAAGGATCGAAAAAGCATCTTGGCTTGGTTATATTTAATTTTCAATTTTGCAAGCAACTTGATCTTCCCTTTTATAAGTCAACATATATGTCCAGGCAAAATTTATGGGTGTTTCATGAGGCAGAGGTATGATAAAAATTTACAGCATTTATGAGATCCTACTATTTAAAAATGTAACATTTTGTTCTGAGTATGGCTATGACTTAGTGATTTCTGTTTTGGAAAGAAAAAATATATACATGAATATTGTAAAGCTTTTTTATTAAGTTGGAAAGTTTACATTAAAATACATTATATTTAATTATTTCCTCAGTATTTTCTTACAAGAACATGGTAAAAAATAAAAACAAAATTATTTACCAAAACTAACAGCAACACGCAAATCTTTGGCCCTGTAAAACAGCCCCATCTCCTGTTATGGTCCTGTGGTTTTAGAAGTTGTAAACTGCTGAGTAAGCTGTCTGTTAGAAAGGTGGGGTAGCATTAGTTTAAGACTGTCCCTATCAAATGACAGACTCTTTATCGTGAACCTTAGTTACAGCTCGAGAGAGCATCTGGCTGCCCTTCATGGAGACGGAGCTGCAATGTGACGAGAAGACCATCATCATAGGCCACAGTTCTGGGGCCATTGCAGCCATGAGGTGCGATCCTTGTTGAATCACTTTGTCAGCTCCAGCCAAGCTTGCTTGGGAAATGCCTTGTGTATATCTGAAGTTTCCACTGCAGAGGAAACGGTGCTGACCTCGAAAGTGGTAACATAATCTGCCCTAATTCCTTCCTGGTTTGGTTAGTGGATTAAAAAAGTTTTTTGCTCTTACTGGGATACAGTGATCCTTTTAAAACATAAGCAGCTCCAAACCCCACCAGCTGCCCATCACCTTCAGAAAAAATCCTTGGCCTTCAAGGTCCCCAATAGCTCTGATGTCGTCTCCACCTTCACTGCCCCAAGCCTGGTTTACAGACCTTATTGCAGTTCCTTAACATGCCAGGTGTGTACCTACCTTAGGCCTATGTTTGCTGTTGTTCTATTTGGATCTCTCTGTCCCTAGATACCTGCATGGCTTTCTCCTTTGTCTCTGCTAGAGACACTTTTCAGTGAGGCCTTCTCTAATTACTCTATATGAAACAACAACCTCACCCCACTGGCTCTATCCCCTTTATCTTACTATCCCTTATTATCTATAGCACTTTTCACCATCTGACATTTGTTTATTTCTTGTCTGTCCCCTGCCAATAGAATGTAAGCTCCATGAGGGTGGACTTTGTTCACTCTGACACTGAAAACACCAGTGCCTAGAAGAGTGTCTGGCATATGGTAGGTGCTCAATAAATATTTGTTGGAGGGTAGAGATTGTTACTTCTTCCCCTTAAGCCCCCAGTCCTTAGGATTCATGGGCACATCCCTGATTCTCTCCATATAACATTATGTCTCTCCCTTTAGGCTTATAAGGTCTAGGGGGCAGGGACTTAGCTGGCTGAGTAAGCCTGTTAGGGTTGGGTTTCTTTCATATTTGCCAGGCTATATGACAAGATATTACAGTTTTTGGGTAGCCTCTTGTTCCAAGCAGTCCCTCAGAATGTCACATGAATTGCATGTCAGAGAATCTTGCCATATTCCATAACCTTTCAGCCACACTAATTGAAGCTACTTGAATAATAATGCTTTCCATTATGGAGCTACAGAATTATGGTAGCCACAGTGTTTATAAGCTGCCTAGAAAATGGCGTTGTCTAGAAAATGAAGAAACCTCTTTATACTGAAATCTGTACCAACTCAAGGCCAACTGAATTTTTTCTCAGGCCACTGGCTAATAAAGATGTGCCTTCTTCTAAAGACCACTGAAACTTATTGCAAGATTGTTGTAACCTCCTAAGAATTAACTTCTAAATTTAAGGTAGGCAAAGAGAAAACTAGATGCCAAAACCATAGGGTATAAGATTGTAGGGGAACAATCACAGAGGACCACTCTGGAGATTACTTATTAATCACAAAGGGGGAATCGTGTCTTTACAGTAGAGGGATCTGATGATGGCTATCACCTTAAGCAAGTAATCAAACTTAATCTTGCCAATACTGGGATAAACTGGCATTAGGTGACTCTGATAATGATGGACATCTGATGTGAAAGATAGATACATCGCCATGTAGTATTCTTGCAAAAAAGGTTTAACTTCAGTCTAATCATGAGGAAACAAATTCAGTTTAGGGAATAATGTACAAGACAACTGGCCTAAACTCTTAAAAAATGTCAATATCATTTAAAACAAAAAATTTAAAAGTGACTAAGGAGTCATGAAAACCAAATGCAATGCACGATCTTTGAACAGATCTAGAATTGAAAAGCAGAGTTAAAGAATACCTTTGGTACAATCGAGGAAAAATGAAGATACTACTGTCTCAATATTAAATTTATTAGGTGTAATAATGATACTGTGGTTGTATAAGAGAATGGCCTTATTCTTAGGGGATACATGCTGAAGTATTTAGGGGTGAAATGTAGCAAAATTAATGAATCTAAGTGTTTGTTGTTCTTCTAACTTTTCTATAGGTTTGAAAATTTTCAAAACAAAAGTTTGGGGAAAAAAGTTTAGGCCCAAGAACAAAATACCAACTCTAAACCTTTTCTGGCACAAAGGCTCCCTGAAACTGTTAACATTCTACGTCTTTCCTTAGCCTAGTCTTTGCTGAGTGAGGGAACTGTCTACAGGGCACTGTACTAGGCACCAGGGTTACAAAGATCAAGAAGGTTCATATGTGCCCTTAAAGGAGCTGATGGTTTATTAGGGGAGACAGGCATAATAGAAGACAAGTGAGTAGAATGCAATGTGGAATATGGGGTAAAAGAGGTACAGCACTGGTACAGTGTTTCTTAAAATATGATTCACAGCCACTTTCATTGGTAATCTGGGTTGGGGGAGGTGTCATGCTTTAAAATGCAGATTCCTGGGGCCTCAATCCCAACCCTCTGAATCAGATGCTGTGGGACTGAGCCTGGGAATCTATGTGTTAACCAATCAAGTAATGCTGATGCATACTAAAGGTAGATTAATGCACATATCAAAGAGAATGATTACACTTTTTATATTTATTTGGAAAGGATTACAGAAGAGGTGTGGACTACCTTGAAAAATGAGTAAAACTCACCAAGTAGCCAAGGTTATTGTAGTTCTGTTGTTTCCTTACTATTTTTCATATTAACCTCAATAGCATATAGCACGTTTCCTGTAAGCTAAACCAAATGAGTTTTTAGGTGGTTTATTGACTTTTTGGTGATCATATTGAACATTAAATATTGGCTGAGATCATTTCTTTGTCTCCAGGTATGCAGAAACACATCGAATATTTGCTATTGTATTAGTGTCTGCATATACATCAGACTTGGGGGATGAAAATGAGCGTGCAAGTGGTAAGTCTGAAGGCAGAAACCCCAGAAAAGCCCTTCCTCTAGTCACGGGGCTGCTTGTTCAGATTATAAAACAGTATTATATTTCAAATAGGCTAAAAAAAAAATCTGGTATCATAGGAGAAATATTTACCACCCATTTTTAGATATAATTTTGGCAGTCTTAGAGGTCGTGGACCACTTTCTAATTCAGTGTAGAATTGAACCCTCAAGGCCTGACTTTATTTGAGTCATATACTCTCCCTTCACAAGTACCTATGCTATCAAGTCCTACAGATTTGAAAACCAAAGGGCTTCTGACTCACACTTAGTTTCTGATTCTTTGTGTCTCTGCTCTCGCCTGCACTAGATGTTTTAGAATGGCTAGAATGAAAATTAACGATGGGCACTGATAGGTTATATATATTTTTTCCCCATAGGATACTTCAGCCGTCCCTGGCAATGGGAGAAGATCAAAGCCAACTGCCCTCACATTGTACAGTTTGGTTCCACTGATGATCCTTTCCTTCCCTGGAAGGAACAACAAGAAGTGGCTGATAGATTGGAAGCCAAATTGTATAGATACACTGATCGTGGCCACTTTCAGAACACGGAGTTTCCTGAACTGATTAATGTGGTCAAGTCTATGCTGAAAGTACCAGCATAAACAGAAATAATTTCTGCTATTTTGCATACCAGTATAATAGAGCAATTATCAGATTAGTAAAATAATTTTCTATTATCAGATGATTACCAGACACAAAAAACAGATCAAATAAAGTGTTAAAAATGCCTATAAAAAACCAAGTTTCGATGTTCAAACTAAGTTACAAACACCATTTCCATTTTCCATAGAATCTACATCTCCCCAAATTGCTATAAACTAAAGCAGTATTTTTCCCACATAAGGGACATCAGGATATCTTAACCACCCTTATCTATCCAAAGTGAGTAAGACAGAAATGGAACCCAGTTTTCCAGTCCAGATTAAAACTAAATAGTTTTCATGTGTTGTACTCCTCTTTCAAATAAAACTTCTAACGTCCAGAGTACTGGCATAGAACTCAAAACACTAGCTGTTGTTTCAAGCTGGCCCAGGATATCAAACCGAGACTGAGGCCTTCACTTTGACACCTTGCCACCCCCCTCCCCCACCCCCCAAGTCGTTCAAGCATGTTGAGAGAGAATGAAACATAAGGATGCTAACAGGCAGGGGTCTGCAGGGGATATGAGCGCAGTCAACTTTGTGTTAAGACATCGGTGATGAGGATTGGCCAATGTGGAGAGCTCACGCATGTGGGAATGTGGCAAGGTGTTGCCAATTTTCTGATTTTTTTTATGACACTTCATACAATGGTTTGTATATTCAGGGCATATATATGTATGCATACATAATCCATATGTACATGAATTATATCCAGTCCATATACACATGGATTATGTTAGCAACTATAATGTAAATAAAAAACTTACAAACACTGCAAGACACATAAAGTTCAAGCCATCTATTTGTGATCTCTGTCATAAGTATTAACTGAGCCAGGTCCTTTTAAATGATACTCTATAAAGCCTGAGAAATGAACATAATGTCAAAGGATGAAATCAGGAGAACAATTTGGATTTTGTTACTAAGTCTTAAGTATTTTTAAAAAATAATTTTCCACACCTCAAATTTTTCTGGGGCTGGCTGAGTGGCGCGATGATTAAGAACTGGCTTGGGACCCCAGAGGGCCCCGGTTCAGATCCCACATATGAGGGCCAGTGACACTTCCCTCTACAGCTAAGATGCTGTACAACAGCTCAACCTGGAGCTGGGCTGCCATGAGTTGCCGGCGACGGCGGAGGCTGCAGCCCCTGCTGCAGTGGGTTGCCATGGGCTACCGTGTGTGGCCAGCAGCCAGCATGAGCGGCCAGCAGCCGTCCAGAAGCCGGTGACTGATCTGTCTCGCCCGGAAAGAGCGCAATGATGGTGCCAACTTGGGCCAGTGAAGCAACATCCTCCACAACTAGACTGAAGAACAAAAGGACAACTTGTCTGTTCCCATCCCCCCAATTCCCCAATTTAAAAAAAAAAATTTTTGTTCTGTAGAGTTCTATCAATTTCCATGGTCCTTTAGATCTTTTTCAAACATCATTCCAGTTTTCTTTTGATTGTACTCCCTCAAAAAAACCCTTTTAATTTCCCAACATTTTTTTTTTTTTAAGATTTTTATTGGGGAATTGGGGAATGGGAACATCGCTGGGGAATTGGGGGAAGGGAAACAGACAAGTTGCTGTCCTTTTGTTCTTGTCTAGTTGTGGAGGACGTTGCTTCACTGGCCCAAGTTGGCACCATCACTGCGCTCTTCCTGGGTGAGGCAGATCAGTTGCCGGCTTCTGGATGGCCGCTCACTGCGGCGGCTGGCCGCTCATGCTGGCTGCTGGCTACACACGGTAGCCCATGGCAACCCATTGCAGCAGGGGCTGCAGCCTATGCCGTCGCCGGCAACTCAAGGCAGCCCAGCTCCAGGTTGAGCTGTTGTTCATCTTAGGTGTAGAGGGCAGTGTCACTGGCCCTCATATGTGGGAACCTAACCGGGGCCCTCTGGCGTCTCAAGCCAGCTCTTAACCATCGCGCCACTCGGCCGGCCCCCAACATTTTTTGCCTATTACAATCTTTAAGTATTACCTCAAACAATTTCCAGTCCATTACTACAGAAAGTTCTGTTGGACAACAGTGGGGTCTAGAGCATGTATTTTATATTCTTTCCTCACCCACCATCTAATAATGAATAAGTTAAAAGTGAATAACTTGAAATTACTTGTTTGACTAGTTTACTTAGTTGATCACCATAAAAATCATGGCACCATAAAATTTACTCATCACCAAACTAAGATCAGAGTGGTTTCATGGAAAAACGCCACATAAACTATTCACTTAAGCCATCGAATCATGGATTCCTATGAGTCTATGTTTGACTATATGGATCATTATTGAGAGAGAGAGAGAGAGAGAGAGAGAGAGAGAGAGAGAGAGAGAGAGACCGACCTTGACAGACCCCAGGGAATATATTCACAGGTGAACAAAATACCTTATACAAAATGGAAATCAACTGTAAGGATTAGGACTTCACTCCCAATTTGAATTTTTGGTGGTGTTATGAGTCTAGAGCCCCACTATTTGTTTTGGTCAAACTACACCTGTATGTAAATATCCATTTAACTATTGTCAGAGGTACTATATTTTTAAATTATTGTCTCTTTTCTCCTTCAGTTAATATTCAGAATTAAAAACATGGGGAAAAAGTGTTAAGACTCTTTATTCTAATGAGGCAATGAATACTTTATTTTTTAGCCATTGATTGTAAGCTTTAAAAAAATCAATCTCTGGTTATTAAGACATAATGCAAAGTCTGTGTTTAAATCTGGTTCCTGGTCTCCACTTCTCCAAGTTCAGTTTTCTTATTAAACATGACTACACCCCTGTGATAGGTCAGGTTCCGGGAAGGATAGATATTGTCCTTACCATTCCAGCTCTCACTGGAGGTAGAAGAGAAACCCTCTGTAGTTGCAGGCTCCAAGATTCTTCTGTATCTTATGTGAAGCAATCTTTGTTTCAAAGAGCTAGTGTTATTAAAGGCTAATTCTATACAGCTGGCCACAGAATTTATCTGGTTCTTAAAAATTGGTTACTGAGCTGCATTTTATTTTACTAATCCCATTTATCTCAAAATAACCCTTCTAATGGTTGTTCACTTAGCGTATCTTGAAACTAGTGTTTGAACTCAGGCCTCAGGTGTAGCTGAGCTTGAATTCTTTTCCTTTGGTTCCACACTTTTGGCCTAAACTTTTAAATGGAGCTAGAAAGAGAAAATACAACAGCTGAGATCCTAAAAAGCCCTACGGCTAACTTCTGTGCAACACTACATCAAATGAACTAATGTTTTCTATATGGCCAAACTGGAACTGAAAGTGCTATTAGAACTAGGGACAATTATTATACAATGGCTTTCTGCTCAGTTTAGACATACTACACCATGATTTTTAGAGCAGAATAAAGGAAACAAATCTAAAACAGTACAAAAAAATGGAGGGCAAAAAAAAAGTGTGATTGGAGTGATAGGTTATTTTTAGTTTTAATTTTAGTTAAATGATGAGAATCTAGGGGAAAGTTGTAGTAAATAATAAAATTGAGCCACAGAGTGAAACCTGTTAAGATTTTAACAAAGGACCAGTGAAAATACCCCCTTTAGGATGAGAATGATAATCTTTATGCATTGAAAACATATCCTTGAAAACAGTCATCATAAGTTTGAGGTAAATACAGCGGCATAATCCTCTGAAAAAATATTTCTGACGTAAAAAGGATTTAACTGTGTGGAAAAGGGATGTTCCAATTCTCCACCATTCACACCCCAAGTTTGCGTAGACGCCTCTACTATTCCTGCCTTCACAGCTTTTAATTTCTTCTCAATGGAACCACTGAGAAAATAGAAAACAGAAATGGTGATAGTGTACCAGATATAAACAATTCCCAATGAAGGCCTCAATAAATAACTTAAAAATGAGCATTCTTAGGCTGTAGCCATTATCCATTGGTAAATATGGATTTGTTGGATTCTTTTTCCTTTAACAATCAAAAGTCTTGACAGCTTCAGATGTGGTCTTCCAGAACTTCAGAGTATTTTACTGAAGAATAGATTTCACTACTAATCTTACCTTCTTTATATTCTGTTGGCTATTCTACCAATATAAATTTAGTCTTCACAGATAAAAAAAAAAAAGTATATTTTCATAGCAGCAAGTCTACATCCATTACTGTGAAGTTTGCTTTTAAGGGAATCTGATGTTCCATCATAAATTATTTGCTTCCAAAGAAACTTCATTTGCAAAATGTCAATAAAGTCCATAGCTCTCTATTAAAATTCGAGCCACTCTGTCATGTAAATACAGTTAGATGGTGAAATCTCGCCACCTTCATGGCAGTCGTCAAAAACCTTCAAAAAAGAAAAAAGTTTATATTCAAACTGAAGTTTAAAAATTCTAACATTAATAGGTAAAGTCTTCCATTAAATGTCAACAACTCAAATTTCGGTTAACAAAATATCCCAAACCCAAACATTTATTTAAAGCAATATTAAAAACAAAACTTTCCAATTGAAAGAGATCAGGACTGTATTTAAGAACATACTATAATAGGACCTGCTCTGTGGTCATAAAGTTAGTTAATGGGAGTCCTTTTTCTGTAGCATTCAGATGACCATATTCACCCACCCACTGGGGAAAGGGCTATCAGTGGGTAACAGGAATACAAGAAGGGAGATCCATACTTTTGAATGACTTTTCATTTTGACTAACCAAATGTTTCATGTTTGGCTACCTTCCTTTTTGTGAAGAGTGCTGAACAGAATTCCCAACCTGCTAGCACTCTATAAGCAGGGTGCTTAGACATTTAGAAAATGGCCAGTATAATGAAATAAAACTTAAGACTAGCAGCCCAAGAATATAAATGTGAAGAGGGTTGGGACAGTGCCTATAGCACACAGTTGGCACTCAAACTATATGGCAATGAATGTATGAAGAGTGCTGGGGCAAGCTGCAAGGAAAAGAATATTATCTCTGAGTTTGAATCCTGGTTGTTATGTCTAAGCTCCATGCTCTTAGGTCTTCCTGAGCCTAAGTTTCTCCTGCTTAAGGGGAAATAACACCACTAGCTCCAAGGAGGATTAAATGAGACCATGTAAATCTTCAAAAACATGTCTGGCCCATGGTAGGTTCTTACCAAATCTCATTTCCCTCCCTACTTAAGTGATTAATGCTTGTCAAAGTTGCCCATTTCAGGGCCAAGAGCAGAAAACACAAATTCCTTTAACCTGGTTATTCTAAGAAACAATGTAATACAATGATTTGTTCATTAAATGTGATCAAAGTTACATGCAGGTTGAGTAGTTCTTGGTCAACCCTGAAAGTCTAAGAAAACTGGGGTGTGCTTCCAATTATGTTATGTGGGATTTGCACTGATGGCAGTCAAGTGTAAAGTAAAGCCACTTGAACTCACCGGGCAGAGACCACAGGGGGCCCGGATCAAACCTGTGGGTGGGATGATTGGATTGACTGCCCTATATAGTTTCATGTGTCCATCTACACTTCCAACCGTGCCTTCTTTTGCAGCGATGATAGTCATTTCCACTTTCCCATCATATATGAGTGTATTCAAGATGGTTTCAATGTCGTCCATGGACAACTCTACCTATAAAGAGGCCGTATTAGAAACAAAAAAAGGACAAGGAGACACTCTTTTGGAGGATATTATATACAATAAAGAGTCACAATTCCTCAGTGAAATGGGGAAGCATTATGCTGGAGAGTAATCAAAAGCACGAAGAGGTTGAACAATGGCCCAAATTAGCACAAATCACTGAAATGCTAGGGAAAGAACTCTGACTAATGTGGAGTTTGAAACTTTTTGATGTCTTCACTCTTCTAAGTAAAATCTAGAAGTCTTGTAAAATAACATTTCTTTGGCAAGAATTTAAGATTTATAAAAGGTGGCAATGACCACCTGTGCCTAACTGGCTTACGATAGTACTTTCCTAAAGTTCTGCAGAATGTTCACAGGAATCACCTGAAAAAAAGGGTCTGGGTCAAGTATGACTGGAATACATTGTAACTCTATCCCTACAATGAGGAAGTTGTAAAAAATAAGATGAAAATTAGAAACTGAGTTCCGACCTTACTGATCCCCAATTCACAGATATATTTCCACACTTCATGTGATGAAGCAAATGAACTATTTCTTTGTATCATCGGATTCTGTTTACTTTCACGTGCTGTTTCTGCCTATAAGGATAGAAACATAAATCTCAGCAAGAATACTGGTGTTTTCTGAATATAGTTTATACAGAGTGGAACCAACAGAACATATTTTGTTTAGTAAAATGTATCAATTTCAATATTTTTCAATTCCTATAAAATAAGATATAAGAAATTAAACATTCTTTATGGAGAAACTTTTTAAAAAAAGACAGTTTCCTCAATTATGCCTCACCTTGGTTTGTAGGAATTTAAAACACTGTTGGTTAAGCACCTCTACAAATTCAGATTCAAAATCCTGGTCACTGTACCAGGCTCCACCAGTCACAGACCGGTCTGGCTGCAGGTTATAGAGCATATACACCTTTTTTTTTGAGGCCTAGGGAAAAACATGCACAGCAGATGTGGTTATAAAATAACAAACAGTCATCCAAAACTAAGATTTGAAAAAAAACCAAAACTTATATTTTAGAGCAGTTTTACAGAATTTTTGTGAACATGGTATAGAATTCCCATTTACCTGTGTTCAGTTTTCCCTGCTACTAACATCTTCCATTAGTAAGGTACATTTGTTATAATTAATGAACCAATATTGATACATTATGAACTAAAGTCTACAGTTTCTCCCTAATGTCCTCATTCCGGTCCAGTATCCTATTCAGGATGCCACAATGTAGTTAGTTGTCATGTCTCCCTAGGCAAATTTTAGTTGTGACAGTTTCTCAGTCTTGTTATTGATGAACTTGCCAGTTTTGAGAATTATTGGCCAGGTATTCTGTAGAATGTCCCTTAATTAGGATTTGTCTGATGTTTTTCTCATGATTAGACTGGAAAAAAGACCACAGAGGTAAAACAACCTTCTCGTCACATTATATCAAGGGTATCTGTCATCAATATGACTTCTCAGTGTTGATGTTAACCTTGATCAACTGGATGGAGGTAGTGTTTCTCAGTTTTCTCCATGGTAAAGTTACTTTTTTCCCTGCCCTTTCCTTGGAAAAAAGTCACCATACCCAGCAAGTAAGTAAAGTAAAATAATTTGAACATTTAAGGATTAGGAGTTATGCTCTACTTCCTTGAGGGTAGTGTCCACATAAATTATTTAGAATTCTTCTGCACGGGAGATGTCTATTCTCCCCCGTTTATTTATGCAAACATTTATCTATCAATGTGGACTCATTAATATTTATTTTATACTTTGTGTTATAATCTAATACTACTTTAGTTTAAAACCTTGAAAACATCATGCTAAGTGAAAGAAGCCATACACAGAAGACCACATACTGTATGATTCCATTTTTAGGAAATGTCCAGAATAGGCAAATCTAGAGAGAAAGAAAATACACTAGCGATTGTCAGGGCTTGGGAACAGGGAAGATGGGGAGTGACTGCTAGAGGGGTCACATTTTGGGGTGATGAAAATGTTCTAAAATTAGAATGTGACAGTTCACAATTCTGTAAATATACTTAAACCCACTGAATCAGACACTTTAAAAGGATAAATTTTATGGTATGTAAATTATATCTCAATAAAGCTATTAAAAATAAAGACCTAGAAGTAGAATTGGCAAAATGAAGCTAGGTGATGCCTATGTGGGGATTCATTATATTAATTTTCTTTACTTTTGTAGATACAGTAAAACTTTGGATTGTGAGCAACTTGATTTGCGAGTGTTCCACAAGATGAGCAAACATTTCTAATACATTTTAACTTGGTAAATGAGCGATGTCTTGCAATACGAGTAGTTTGTTTCCAGAATGAATTATGCTCACAAACTAAGGTATTACTGTATTTAAAATTACCATTAAAAATGTGGAAGAGAAATAGTATTCTAACTTAGGGGGTGGTATGACATAAATGTCATTGGTAAATAAAATCAATGCTGAATATCAAATTCTTATATGCTGAAATTTGTGTTCAAGCAAACGTTAGCCTACAGCAACCTTGGCTCCTCTGACACCTAAATCAGTGTGGTCAGCAGCAGGTGTCCCTGAAAGCCAAGCTCTGGAGCTTGGAACCCCGAGGGATGTGATGGGTGGGGAGGGATGAGGAGGAGGAGAAACACCCTGTGCTGGAACAGATGCTCCACCAGGGCAGGGATCTTTCTCTGACTTATTCATTAATGTATACCAAGCATCCAGACAGTGTCTGGCACATAGCAAACTCATAATTGATATTTGTTCAATGAATAATCTAATATGCCAGGATGAAATAAATTTCCTTACACACCAGAAAATCCAGAAAAAATGTTAATGATTCCAAAATTTTTTCCTGAAGACATTGTTTTAGATTTTTAAGTGAGTAAGGCACTAAGAGTTAACCAGGCAGTGACATATCTAAGCAGCATCTCCAAACCAGTATGAACCAAATGTTTAAAAATCTTTTTTGATCAGTTGTTTTAAATCACGATACGGCTTAAAGAACAATAAAAACCCGAAAAATAGTAGGAGCAATATATGTACAATCAACATTCAGGAGAAGAAAAGAGAAAACTACTCACTGCCACCGACTTAACAGCTTTGATAAGTTTTTTACTTTCCAAATTCTTTAGAATTTTGTTAATTTCTGTTAATGGCAAATTACTTTTGTATCGGATATCTCTGCTCCATATTCCTATTAAAAGACAGTAAAGTAAAATAAGTGGAACACTATAGGATTTGTGTTTATAATACTGTTGTTTATATCTCATTCCAAAACTAGCAAAATATATATGTGTATATTACTACAGCATAGCTATAGGAAAAATTAAGTGTCTTGGAGACAGAATCTCAGATAAAGTAATAAAAATATGCAAAACAATACATAAGTTATGTTCTATTTTCTAACTGGAAATTTCTTGGACTCCTAGTGTGGAATCTTTTAAAAAACATATGAAAAGGACATTTTTGAAAAGCAAAAAAAATCTTGAATGTTATTGAATTAATTTATAGTCATGCACTGCACAATGTTTTAGTCAATGATGGACAGATATGATGATGATCCCATAAGATTATAATGGAGCTGTAAGATTCCAATCGCCTAGTGATGTCATAGCCCATTGTAGCTGTTTTAATGTCGTAACACAATGCATTACTCATGTGTTTGTGGTAATGCTGGTATAAACAAAGCTACTGAGCTGCTGTCATATGCAAAAGTATAGCACATACAATTATGTATAGTACATAATACTGATAACGATAGTGACTTACTATTTTATGTACTTACTATACTATTTTTTTTTTTTTTTTTTTTTTTTTTTAGCTGAGCCATCCTGCCACCTGTTGGCAGCTTAACAGCAGCTCAGCTCGGGCCGGGCATTGAACTGCTGTTGCTCAGAGCTCGCACTCTTATACTATACTTTTAATTGTGATTTTAGAGTGTACGCTTTCTACTTACAAAAAAATGTTTGCTGTAAAACACCATGCTGTGTTACACTGGCAGAAGCCTCATACCTCTCGCATTTATGGCATCTCTTGATTGTATCATCTTCTCTTGTGCTTGATTTAATCTCATGTTTTGTACAGTAACATGCTATACAGGCTTGTAGCCTAGGAGGAATAGGCTATATACCATAAAGCCTAGGGGTGCAGTAGGCTATACCATCTAGGTTTGTGTAAGTGCAGTCTATGATGTTTACACAATGATGAAATGCCTAACGGTGCATTTCTCAGAACACAGCCCCTTCATTAAGCAGTGTATGACTATATTGTCTCTTCCATTCCCTCTTGCACCCCAACCTCTGTTTTTTGTAAATTTAATTTAGATTGTATATTTGAAAAATAAACTTAACTTTGGGCCATCCTCAATGGAGAGCAAAAAAACACTATGTGAGCACCTATGTCCATTATTTTGTACAACACTATATTTGGGAGATGGAAAATAGGAAGATTGCAGTTCCTACAACCACTAAAAACCCTGCATAGGAAGCTATTTTTCTTTTAATGAAGGAAATAAGTGTTATATGTGAAAAGGAATTTTATGTAAAAATATTTTGCTGTATTTTCTTTCCAATGTAGAGGCATAATGAGATAGGAAGATTTTTTTTTTAAAATAGAGAATCGCTTTTTCATAGGTCTATTTTTAAAATGTTAATTTAACCTTCTAACTACTAAATATAAGAATTATATGTTTTCAGATTACATCTAATTGTTAAAGCTAACAGATTAAATAGATCCTAAATTGTAAAAACAACAATTTAAAAATAGTTCTTCAATGAAGAGAAGAGCTAAATAGCTGTTGAGAGACCTATGTCAGACACTGCCACACTGCACTAAGAATCCCTCTGGTTTTTGCAAAAACCAGAGATGTTGTTATCCACAATTTACAGATAAGATGAAGAAATTAAGGCTTCCAAAGTTTACTGAGCGAGTATTAAAAAAGAACCTTAACTTTTAATTTATTTATTTTGGATAGATAATACATTCACGTGGTTCAGAATTCAGAAGTTTTTTACCATCTTTTCCCAGAGCCATCTAATTCCTACCTCCTTTGAGGCAACTCCTGGGTGTCCATCAAGCATATGCATATGTACAGTATATATGTATATTTTCCTCTCCTTTTTACACAATGGCAGTATATTCTATATCCCTGTGAAGCCAGGAGCTCAGTCCCTGTGTCTGGTCCCAAAGACAATGTTTTTTTCTGCTTCTTCCTTCACATGCTTACCTTTATTTCCTGCATCCTCTATGATTTGATATACTAGTTTTTCTTGGTTATCTGATCCCTTCATTTTACTGCAGGAGAATAAAGTAGAATTAAAAAGGCAAAGAGGTACAGGATAAACTAATAATCTATACAACAACTTAAATGAATTAGCAGACAAGGTCATCACATTGACTTATTTACCAAAAGAAGGACTTAACTTAAAAAGAATGAGATAGGGCCGTATGTACCAGAATGAAAAGATGTCCAAGACACAGTAAGTGAAAAAATCAAGTTGCAAAAGTGTATGCATAGCATGATCCCATTTTTAAGAAAAAAAAAATTATAAATATATACTCATTCATATATATATATGACATATATACATATATACATCTATGTATATATGTATATATGTATATATATGTGTGTGTGTATATAATATATATATATATATATATATATATACACACACACACACACACACACACACACACACATATATGAAAGTATACATACCAAATTATTTAAGAGAAGTTATCTTTGGGAAATAGAACTCATGATAGGAGGCAGGGATGGTATGCATGACAGATTTACATTATGCAATTCTGTATTGGCTTTTTTCAAAAACATATATTACTTTTATAATAATTAAAATTTTCTTAAAATAATATAATTAGGTGCTTACCCAGCATTTTGAGAATCCTTTATTCTATACAGAAGGCCTGTATTGCTCCTTAAGAGATCCAACTGACCCTGAAGTTTTTTTTTATAGGAAATAGCAGTCAGTTATTTTGTCAAATCCAATGACAAATGTTAATACATTCTTTAAAATTTTACAGACTAAAACATCCTACCTCCTATAGTCATTTTGTCAGTTCCTCTCTTGAGATTTACGTTTTTGCCTATATATCACATGCAGTGCATTTTTCAAAACTTGGCTCTTTATCTCATCATTTTCTAAAATATTAATAACTAACAATTTTCTATATGCTAGATCCTGGCTTGGTTATATGATCAATGCATAAAGAATTATAAACAAGCAGCTTTAGAGTAATAAATTAAAATTTATATTCAAATTAAAATAAATTCAATAAATATAAATATAATACAAAAGTTTATGTAACAAAAAGTTCAAATAAAGGTAACATGCATAAATATTCTATAACACAATGATTAAATAAAATTTACAGTTAATAGTGACATTTACTGATATGTGTGATTTTTATTGTGTTACATGAAAATTAGGAAGAAATTTATTGTGTTACATGAAAACCAATGAATAAAAGGCCTGCAGTTTTGTTTTTCTACAACAAAAGTAAAATAAAGCATTTCTGACATGCTTCTGAATTTCCTTGACTCTGAAACTAGGAGCACCCAAATGGCTGCACCACTGGGCTTATAGCAGCTCGGGGAAGCCATGGCTGAGAGAGGCCTCCTTACCATGTGTTAAGACTGGGCAGATTCATGACTTGGAAGTGGGCTTACATATGGATGAACAGTAATACCCTCCCCACTAAATGGCAAAATCAAAACACAAAGCTCAATTTAGAAGCTCCATTCAGTCATTTAATTCGGCCTATGAATATTTACTGAACACCTGTACTGTGACTGTTGTTTTGGGGGAAAACATGAATTCTAAAAGAGAATCACACAGCTAACTTGAATACCATCTGGTTGGCATTAATATAGAGGTAAGTAACGGGTGGGATGGGCCCTTAGAGAAGAAGCTCTGGCCCAACCTGGGGATTCAGGGAGGCTTCCTGGAGACAACAGCAGAGCTGAGACTTGAAGGATAATGAGGAGTTAGTCAGTTGTGAAGCAGGGAAGAAGGACCTTCTAAGTAGGGAAGAGAACATCAGCAAAGGACCTGAGACATGAAACAACATGATGTGGCAGGGAACCAAAAACAATCTGCTCCCTCTGAAACCTAACTTTTAAGTCAAAGTGATGGAAGATGAGGTGGGTGAGGTTGGTAGGTGCCCAGTGTGGTCAACCCATGAGTTTGAGCATCTCTAGTGTTGAGAGGATTTTTGTTGGGAAAGTGACTTGGTCAGATCTGTATTTAAAGACATATCAGGCTGGCTGCTCTGAGGTAGATGGCACCAGGAAAACTACTTAGAATGCACTGTAGGGACGGCCGAGTGGCGCGATGGTTAAGAACTCGCTTGGGATGCCAGAGGGCCCTGGTTCGGATCCCACATATGAGGGCCAGTGACACTGCCCTCCACA